AGTAACTAACTTCAATTTTTCCTGCCTCAGTTTCCTTATCCATAAATAGGGGATAATTAAACCATCTGCCTCCAGATGGTAATGAGGATTAAATAAGTGAATGCAAGTAAAAAACACTTAGAAATTGTAATGCACATCTTATGAGTACTTGATAAGTACTAGTTGTCAATGTTACAGTTATTAAAAGAACAATTTGTTCCTCCAACTGCAATTTTAACATGGCCTTCTTTCCTTAAAGGAGATGTAGACAGTACGCATTCCCATGTTTATGATAATTTTTGTAATCTAGAGCAGGGTCAGGAAACTAAGGTCCGTGGGCCAAATCTTGCCTACTGGCTGCTTTTGTGAACAGTTTTGTAAATTAGTTTTATTGAACACACTATATTTATTCATTTACATATTGTCTGTGGCTGCTTTTACGCTACAGCAGCAGAGTTGAATAATTGTGAGAGACTATGTTACCTGGCCTATTACAGAAAATGTTTGCCAACCTTTAATTTAGAATAAAATAAGGTTCCAATGTTTATTTAAGGGTCAGCAAATGATAGAAGGGGAAAATACTGAAATTTGAATCCAAAGACCATGGCTTTTGCCCTGTCTCTGCTGCTGGTTGCTGTGTGGATTCAAACAAGTCATAGTAATTTTCCATATCTCAAACTCTTCATTTATAAAAACAAATGACATACATAAGAAGGTGATCACAATTTCCAACTTACATAGTGTAAGGTTTAAGTTAATAACATGCATAAAAGTGCTTGGTCAAATTTTAATTAAGCATATGAGGGACACCGGTCATTGAGGAGGTTACCAAATCTATCATACTCATTGTTCTCAGTGACTGAGCCTCTCGGCTGGTCTAAATTTGCCCTTCTCAGACTGGTTCTGGGCCCAGTCCAGTGCTACAGCTTCTTTTAGCCGGTAACGGATAATTTCTCCCCAATTTGAGTCTTTAGAATAATGAATTTGGTTATGTGAAATAAAGAACAAATGATTAAGTAATTATTTTCTTTTCTCTCTGAAGGGTCATCGTTGAATAGTAACACTTTCCAGCCAATGGCATTGGAGCTGCACACGCATAGCTCTAAGGGGCCTTTGCCAGCTGGCCTCATTAATCTCTGATGTGCCCTCCACATTCTGTTATCACGGTGTGTTCACTCCTTGACAATTTTACATTTCTGTCCCAGGGCTCTTAGATTCACACCTTTCTGTCTCTCCCATCCTGGGCTTTGACTTTCTTAGGTAGAATTTTGGTATGTGTCTAATCTCACATTTATCACACTTACTGCCTTAAAGAAAAAGAATATATTCCACCATTGCTTTTTCTTTTTTTCTGAAGACTTAAGATCCTGATCGTCTCTCTAATCCCAGACCAAGCTCTGAGGAGGAAACAGTTGTGTCTACAAAGCAATGGATTTTCCTTTTTATATGCAGCACCCTCCCTCCTAGATCTCCTGGGTGGTGCTCTGTGGCTTATCTATCATTACTCTGGGTGTCATAGAAAGACATTCATTCTGTTCAAAGCCTGAGATTTTAAAGGAGAATCATAAAGTTAAACCCTGTGGATAAAGCCTGTCTTCTGTGTGACCAATGACAGCAGAAAACATTTGGGAACCCATGAGAAGAGGTGGAACATGACAAAGAGTTTCTTACACATAAAGGTTCTTTAATAACTCTCTTATCTGAGCAGTTTTATCACTTAGAAGGCAGAGGGTATCAGGTTTTTGGATTTGTGATAAGTAAAAAAGTTTTGATTCTGCATGTGCCTATTACCAATTATGATTTTGACAAGTTATTAACATTATATGACAATATTACTATAAAGACAAAAATCTGGTTTCTTCCAATGAATGCGGTATTATACAAAACACTTAACTAATCATACACTAAGAGCTAAAGAGTTAATAGCTCAGAAATATTCAAAATTCTGACTAGGGAGGACATTTATTCCAGCAGACATACATAAAGCTTTCTTTTTAAAAAAAGTGCTGTCACGCTAGATCCACTTAGCGTATCTGATCAAACCCCTAATGTTCAAAACTTTACAAGGGAAGAGTTTCAGGTCATAAAGAAAAATCATCAGAGCTCCATAATATCAAAAAGTTTGAAAAGTTTCAATTTAAAAAGTGACAGATGGCAAAGAAATGTACAAAAATGTAAAACAAAAACACAAATATTTTCATCTCCCCAGATCTTTAATCACTCACTACAGCCATTTGTTATTCTGGCCAAATTGCTGAAGATTGTGACTGATAAACCCATTACAAAGAAATAATGACATAATTCTGTCCTGCTCTTCCCTTTGAGTCACCTGGAATGGAAGGGAATTCAGTGAATATCAGTAAATATCAATTTTGCATAGTAGCTCAGAGAATGGGCTTTAGAGTCAGACAGCTCTGGATTTAAAACCTAACTCTACTGCCTATTATGCATGGCCTTGGACACACCAAACTTAACCTCCAAGTGCCTGTTTCCATATTTGCAAAATTGGGATCCTAATATCAACCTTGTAAGTTGCTATTACATTAAATGAGATATGGATATATTCACAATGGACTATTACACAAGTGTCAAAATAAGTGAATTACAGCCACATTCAATGACATAAATAAATCTTGGCAGTATAATGTTAAATGAAAAGAAGTCCTAAAAGATAACATACAGCATGACTACCTCTAATAAATTTTAAAAAACAGATAAAATAAAAAAATTCCTTCCTGCCAGAGGAAAGCAAGGGAATAAAGAACATGGGGTTCAGGATCATGATTACCTTAGGTAAGGATAGCAGGGGATGGAAGAGGGCTGGGGACACCTTTGTTGAGGTATATTTTACATTACCATCAAGGTCCTACTGATTGTTTGGGGTCAGAAAGTCTCTATTTTATTATTTTTAAAATGGTTAAATAAATAAGAGTGGGATATAAAAGTAGTTAGTTTAATAAACAGTGACACTGAAAACAAAAAATGCTCTAAGGAAAAAATATCTTTGAAGAAAAGAAATAAAATAGCAAAAAGCATGTGATAATCTCTGGTACTTTTGAAATAAAAATTCTGTATTTTCAGGCAGTAAGATGCACATGGTCAACAATGAATTAGGTATAGCGATTGTTCTATCAGTGGCTAGGAAGTGTGAGTCAGCAAATGACTAGAACTCCTAGGAATTAGCTAATGATTTGGAAGCCTAGAGAATTCTCGGTCTTTCTCTCTCACTGTGTGTGAAATGATATTGATAGAACTGTACAAACGTCAAGCATAAAGCTCAAGTTTTTTGGTGGCATCAGCAAAAGTAATGCAGAACTGCTCATGCTTCCATTTATAGTAATAGTGAATGTGTAAAAAAAACCATGCTTTTAATTATCTATGTATGAGAGATACTAATAGGTAAGTAGATATATAAATAATTGCAACAACAAGCTCCCTGCTATTGTTTCTAAGCATTATGTAACATCTTTGGGCTTAAGAGATTTCTATCCTTTATGAATGCATTATTACATAAAGTAGAAATAATGATTTACATATGTGAGCTCATAACCATGCAAGATAAATATTACCAGCATTCCATTTTATAGATGAAGAAGTTGAGGCATGAGGGACCAGACAAGAAATATGATGGTCACACAACTGACTGGGGCCATTAACCAGTTCACTAAAGCTGTAACATAGATATTATGGAGAAAAAATACATTTCACAATATCCAGCCTACTGACGACCAGGATGCTTTACAAGGTACATGTTAAGTTCAAAAAACACGGAGGGAAATAGCTGAAGACTCCATCTCCCAGCAATGGGGGTTAGGGTGAAACAAGCAGAGGTCAAATAACAAATCATCTGGATGTCAGATTTTACACAGTAAAACCCATTTGTGTTGGCAAGAGACTTTTTAACTTCCAGTTTGGTCTTGTCAATTCAATGGCAGACAAGGAGTTCAGCCAGAACAATACGTAGCTGTGTAATTCCGACAGTTTATTGGGAAGTATTGTGGTCTTACCTTGGAGGGTGCCTCCTCCTGGGCTCTCCAGGTGAGCAAGGTGAGCCTGCCTGTCTGACCGAGGGAGGGTGAACTACATGAGACTAAATTCACTGATAGGTTGCCGGAAGACTGCAGGGCTGAGGTGTAAGCTGAGTAAAATATGGCCCTACAGTGCTTGGAGAAGAAACAGTTGCTGGGTCCCAAGAAGTTCTTTCCTTCTTGGTTTTCCCTTTTCTCCTCTTTCAGACTTTTGTGCCAGATGGTTTCTTGCCACCAAATTCAGGTTCTACAACCCCAAAGCCTCAGGCTGACACCAGCTGGAGCCCAAGTAATCACTGCATTGACGGGAGGGTTCAAGCAGCATAGGCTAGTGTGGCCAGTAAGAGCAAACATCTGAATTTTAAGCTGCTTTTGAATAGATATTGTGTAAATCAGGGAATAAATAAGGGGAAACGCTGCTTCTTCGTGGACATACAGTAAATACGCACGTGGCTGTGTTGCTAACACTGGCATTTTTCTCCAGTGGAAAATGCGTGTCATGTAGGAACCTCTTCGACTTTCGTTCATCCCTCCAGAAATAGTTGATTCTTTCATATGTAAAAATTATGTTTCCTTTCATGAGCATTAATGGTCTTGAATTAAATGATGTGCTTTTATATCAATTTACGGAAGTATTTTTAGCCATATTATTTATAGAACATTTAGGTCTGCCTTTCAAAGTCCTCAGTAATCTTTAGCCTTTGCTCGTCTGCTTTTAATTTAGCAAAGCCCTCCTTCAACAGGCATTGCACAAAGCACCCAAGCAGCAGAGACTTCCCCTACACAACGTGTATTTGATATGCTTAACGCTCGTCATTATACACACACAGACGCTGGCGCGTAAGAAATGTGGAGGGTGTCTATAAATTCAAGGAAACATTTAAGTGCACAGTGATACACAGATACACGGGTATAATCCTTTATGTACTTGATAAATATTTCATCCCAACCATAAAGAAAGCTTTTTATCAACTTTGATTGTTTTTTTATTACCTTAAAGTATTGCAGTTGTTTCTCAGCATTCATTGTTCCTTCCTTTTCTTGTCTCAGACAGGAATTGAAGATGAAAAGCTCTGTATCTCTCAGCCACCCTTTCAGTTCTTTGATCCTGACCTCCAGCTGCCCCACCAGGCTTCCGCTTTCAGGAGAGAGCAGGTCACGTGGGCCCGACCCACTGGGCCCTGCCATTGTGTCCTGGAGCTTCTCTCCTAGGGTTTTCTAATGCAGCAGATTAAAAACAAAAACAAAAACACCACCAACAAAAAACAAAAGACAAAAACGAAGATTAGCTGAGGTACCAAAAACAGATCACAGTTTGGCTGCTAATAAGAGCCACCTGGACTGTGGCACCTGCTACCTCACGACTGACCTTCAGTTCAGTTTAGCTCATTGTTCCACTTAGGATTCGAGTCTTGAGCCATACGTGTTGTTCTGACTACCACTACAGGCTTCAGAAGACCTCATTCACTTATAATTTCCTCTAACAGTAAGGAGATTTGACCCAAAAGTTCACCATGGTCACTGATAAAAATTCATTGAAATTCTCATGACAGAAGTTTACAGTAAAAAAAAAAATCTCTGCATAAAATTTTCAGGAGATAGAAGTATGAGTTTAATCAATATACTAAAGAGGCCAAGAGTAGACCGTGTATGGAGAATTATATTCCTCTTTTTTGTTTTGTTTTATTTTCTGAAGTATAATTCCCCAAACCTTACAACTGAGGGTTGGTAAGAAGGGGTAGCCTCCTTGGTGCTGATTTTTTACCTGATTTTGAAATTGTTCAACCCTTAATTCTTCCCACGTTGCATTTGTAGGTGCTAGACTTTCTAAAATATGTGCTAAAATAAGTCTCAGACCTCTATGCTAGAAACCTACTTAGATTAATCACTATGGCATGAAGGTACAGTCAGGGAAGGCTTTTTTCTTCTTTTTGGTGGAAAACATTCTTTTTGGAGAAACAGGAGGAGTTACTCTATAATGATGAATTTAACCTACAAAAATGAGCTTTAAAACACTAATAAAATTAAGTCAACAAACAGTCATCTGCTGTGTAGTGTTCTATAAATAGTGTCTTTAGGAGATCGTAACAGAAAAATAGCCTTTCTTGGCAACACACCCTTGTATTTTCATGGTGCAAATATTGATAATTTGAAGACCCTCAGTGGGATCCAGATTTAGCTATTGTTTTTATGCTGTAACAAAAGTAGCAGCAGGAGGTGAAATCAATGCCCTTGGAGGGTAGGGTCACAAAAAAGAATTTATTGCCACTTTTTTGTTCTGGAACAGTTTGCAATCATAAATTCTTCATAAACAGAATACTTCAGAGAATGGTCCGTCTTCATAAATATACGACAGAGGACATCAATTTCATTTAATTCACAATTTGTGTCAGCACAGCAGATGCCAATGCCTGCCTTGATAGGGTTGTTTAATATGCAATTGAGACAGAGTAATATGCAGCACAGGGGACAAAATTTCACAGATTAAACTGTACGCACCACTGACATTTCATTCTAATGTATTTCCATTCCACACTGTTCACCTTAGATGAAAGTAATATTAAAAACCATATCCCTCTATTTTACTATTGTTAGAAGTTAAAATCCTTGTCTTTAAATTTTTTTCATGTCAATTAAAATGTAATCATGCCAATTAAAGCAGTATGCCTGGTGGTGGCCAAGTGTGGCCCAGGTTTTGTTAAAATCTTCCCTTCACCATTCTCTCTCCAGAAATCATCACAAAACTGCATATTGTATTCAAATGATATTTTTGTTAAAATGGCAACCACTTTTAAGGGATCTGGCTCCTAAAGGATAGCTAAATATTCTGTTTCTTTTTTTATCACTGATTTACAAGTTTTGTTTAGGAAGGAATATACATGATATACTTTGAACAATTTTCAAAAAAGAGTAGTGCTAATTATTTATCAAATTAGAAAATAGACAGATTAAACAGTATAGACAGACTATCGCTTTACCTATCACGCACATAAAGTTGCTGCTTTCATCTCTTTAGTAAACAGTCTTTTAAAATGTCAGACACTAAGCATGGTTCTCCTGTATGAGATCAGTGAATTCTGTAGAATTTAGTAGGTTCTGATTTCAATCACCGTATTATAAAAGGAAAGCCATTAATTACTATGGAAAAGTAATGTAACAATAGGTCAGAGTAAAAACTTTTAACATTTTAAGTTACTTTGCTCAACTGCAGAGTGTAGTGAATTTAGATGAGAAAGCAAGGATTTAAACTTGCAGTTGTTTAATCACCTAGATTAAGCATGGTGTAAACTGAACACTGGCAGTTCTCCAAGTCATCAAGGTACATGGAGAGCTTTTTATTCAAAATATTCTTTGAGTATTATTTCTTTAAAAGTTAAAAAAAGAAAGGCAGGAATGGGAAAGCATGCAAAATCATGTTCCGTCACTGACACCACCCATACTTAGCTGTTATCATTAATCATTTAAGTAATTGACAAATTTAGCTTACCCTTGATTTGAAGTGAAGGCAATTCAGGAGAGAAGTTGATGAAAAAACACAGTTTAACTTCTCTCTCTCAGCTGTCTTCCAACAAAAGGACAGTACCGTCTTCTGCACAGTGCCATCCTGGTCTCTGGGTAACAGAATCTCTATATTGCCTTTTTGCCAGATTCTTGCATCTCAGTCTTTGGCTGAGACCCAGCCCATCATTGCGTGAAATGAATTACATGAAACTTTTTTTTGGCTTTTGTTAAAAGTGAGCTGGAAATTGAGGCACTAAACAGAGGCCGATTTAATTCTGCAATTCAGATTTGGGTCAAATTTGCATCTTTGTTTTGGTGGCTTTAGTGTGACTTGAAAGCTGTAGTGACAACTCCACTTTTCATCTGAGGGTACAGTAAATAGTTAAACAGTGGATGTCTCCAACATGTACCTTCAGAATAAATTCTATTAATGTTCATTCAAGCACGACAGTCGGTGTATATCAGATACACTGCATTATAGTTGACTTGGTGCACACCCATAATACATGGCATATTTTACTTACTTTTTTATGTATTAAAGAACCAAAATTATGAAAATCTGAGAGGATACAAGCTCAGAGTGAAAAAAAAAATCAACAGCAGAGGAAAAGCAGTGTTCCCCCCCCCAATAGCATGAATAGCTTGTTTGAAATGTAGGTAGTGAATTGAAAGAGAGAGATATTTGTGCCTCAAATTAGAAATCAGACAGATAGGGTACTTCACTACACAAAAAATGTACACATAACCTACAAACAGTAATAAAAATGCAAATACCCCAAGCAGTTCCCATTTTTCATTAATTGAATCCACTTTTTCAAGGAGATCATTTGGTAGTAAAACGCCACCTTTCTTCAAAGCTTCAACCTTACTAAGCAGCTCCGTCTTTTTCAGGTCCCTGATGGACATTTCCACGCTGTATCTCTAAAACAGGAAGAGAAAAAAGATCATTAGGGAAAGAGGTGTTCTCAGAAAATCTATGAGCAGAGTTAGTAAGGCTCAAGGGTGTTAAAAGTTTTTGTTTCCTATAAAATTTATGGGGAGGCTAAACTAAGAACCTTGAGTAGTTGAGGAAAATTGCTGAAAACAGTTTAAAAAATATATATTTATATATATTACATAAACACAAACATCCAAGGTATTCCATTTGGTTGACTAAGATGTATGTCTTTTTAAACTTAAGTTTGCACACACATTTGATTTTTATTTCAAAATATTCCAAACAGGAAAATACCTGCTCTAGGGGGATTTAATATTGCAATTAGTTTTGGTCAACAATTGACTCCGGAGTACTGCCCATCACTCATCTCTGTCCCCTCAAAGGACCAGTCTCAGAGTGATACAAATAAGACAATCCCCAAAAATTGTGTAACTTCCTCCTTATCCTGTAAGCCCCCTGAATTCTCAGTTAACATTTTTTTTCTTTTACTAAAAATTCTGTGTCGGCTTGGAGAGGTACATATCAGGTACATATAAGAGGAAAAAGAAAGCCAGTGCTTTGAGAATGGTTACAAATCTATGCTTCCTTATTGACTACTGTCAAATGTTCCCAAACATCACAATCAATTTATAGAACCTTCCCTCAATATACACTGTACTCTAACAAACTGACCAAGTGAGTCTCTACTAAAAGATGTTTTGCTAGCAATAATGTAAATGTATTTAATACGACAGTTACTATGGTGATTCTCTTCAAATAACTCTATTTGGATAACTTCATAGTTAGAAAGTCCTATCTTACAGACAGCTATGGATGTGGATGTATCTTTTGAATGTGCACATAAAAACACCTCTGAGTAGAAAAACTAGATTCTGGTTAAAGTATTAAACATGTTTTACAGTTTTAGCACATTTCTAAGTATATAATGGCAATCCATAAACTTCTTTCTTCAAGGCATAAAAGCTAGGTCACTGAGATACATGGTCGTATTGCACCATTGTCCTAACTGAGCTAAGATGAGCACCTTATCAGATCTAATAAGAAAAGCTTTTGTCTGGACAAAGTAGGAAATCAGCAGGTTCAAAACATGCCCAAACACTTGGGTGGTTTCATTCGCCTTGATAGCATGATATTATATAAGATCCCAAACTGAAATACAATTGGAAGCAGCTTAAAGGAAAAGGTGTGAAATCCCTGTTTTGGTTAATAGGTCCTCAGCATTTTCATGCATATGTTTGCATACTTTTCATTTCCTATTTTAATCTTTCATTTACACTAAACATGCACATCATTTGTATTATGTAAACTTCTCCAAATGTTAGTCATTTGTGGATCACAGAACAAAATGTTTTAAATGAGGTGATTTAAAACATTTCATAGTATTAATGAATGTTGATCAGGGTGTCAGAGTATCCAAAATTACATGAATATGCATAATGAAAAAAATCAAGGGTTGCTTTGGAGCGCTTTCAGAATTTGGCCTGTGATATATGGGAATTTGGATTGCATTTTCTAATGGCAGGCAATTACCAGGACCACATTACTCCAACGCTTATAAGACACACTGTCCACTCATGTTTTCCAGACTCAACACTCAACAAACATTCTAGAAACCTCAATGGTGTTTTATTTATCAGAGTGTTGACTGGAGGAGAGGGCAGTCTGCTTTATGTAATCAGATTCCCATCTAAAGATGATGTTGCTGACAAATATTTACATAATTAATTTGAGAAGGCTTCTTTGACATCATATTGGGGGAACTAGCGTTTCAGGCAAGCAGGAGAATCCTATTCAGATCTTTTGCTTATGTCACGTGCATTAATCGATGGGAGTCCTCCAGCTGTGCCACCCAGGAGTGGCCTCAACCAGTTATCACTCTCACTTGCAACGAGCTCATCCCCTATCTTTACCCCAACTTTGAATGGCAACTACACAGATGAGTCAAGAAAGGCAACAGTTTAGATATGTCTCATAAAAATGACTGTCTTGTGAAAATAAAAATATAAAAAGGAATTTAATTTTAGCTATAATAAAATAATTTTCTCTGTGAAGTCTAGTACCAGTAGTCACTGAAACCACTATTGTGAAGGTTATTACATTAAGAAAACGTGTTTTTATGTATGCTCTCTGCCTGCGTCACCATGTAACCCCCTGGATCAACAGCTTGATGAAAGATGTGACTGATGGACAATGATTTCAAACTGTAAAAGCTAAGACAATCCAGTTAGTTGTTGGATGTATTGGTATGTGCATGAAAGGTACTGGAATGTCATGTAATTAAAGATTGAAATTTAAGATGAAAATATTTATTTTAATTTTGAAGCACTCTGAGGGTTGAATCTGATATAATATAGGGCCTCAAGCTGTATATGTAATCATGCCAGGAGGGTTATGGGTTTTTGTTGATGCTAGTATCTTTTCGCTCTTCTCTCTCCAACATTTTCAGAAACGTTAGAGACAATCAACTCTTATTGGTTCTCGGTCATCCTATCGGGTAAGGCTACTTTAGCCTGTGGTGAGAAAATAATTTAATCTTCATATTTATTCCAGCCACAGCAGTAAGTGAGCAGAGGCTGGCCCATTGTGTCCTGTAGTCTAGGGATGTTATGATATAGACTACTCTTCAATAGCCAAAAATGAGATTAACAAAGTTAAAGTCAGATGGCTTTTCTTGAGTGCTAAGGTAAATAAGCATCTGGTATTTAATTTCCCCACAGCACCTGCTGTGGGCCTCTCTGTCTAGTCAAAAATAAAATATACTCTATTGAAAGGGCATATTTACATTATTAAGTGTATTTGCTTGGCCAATTCAATTTTGACTAATGAAGCCTCCTAATAGATCTGTGAATGATCTAAATTAAAGACACAGGCCACTCCTATTCTAAATGCCACTCTTGTGCGTATATAGAGATATACAAACAAAACTTAACAAACAGAGTTAAAAATAACCACAAACACTAGCTCATTTTAAAAACTAAGAATTAAAGAAGTTTTTAGAAAATTTTCATTCAATGCCTACTTTTTAAAACCGTAAATGCTAAAATTGAATTATAAAATGAAGCCAGCAAAAACAGGGTTTCTGAAATAAATATAATTAGAAATGCATGAAGACTTGATTGAGATAACTTTTTTGACAGTTATGCTAAAGGCTTTTTTTCCCCTCCTAAAACCTTTTTTTTTTTTTGTTAAAAATCACACCGAAAATTCTGCCCAAATGGGGACTGGAACAATGCCTTGAAACAGTGTTAATTGTCACCATGGAAACCAGAAGAATAAGCCATTTTGAAACTGGTATAGAAGGCACACATTGAGCAACTCAAGCATTTTTCTGCCTCCCTCAATGTTAAAGAACAAGATGCCTTGTCACTGTGAGGTCAGAGAAAGAAAGCATCATGAAAGGGTTGTCGATGCTCACTGTCTAGTAAATAAAAAAATAAAAAATAAACTGCATACAGCTAATGCTGTAAGACTACCCAGTGAATCTTTTTGAAATAGAAAGATCATCAAAAGATGGCCAGGATTGGGGGATGGATTCCACCTAAGCAAAACTTCAGGGCTATATTATGTGAACCTTGCCCCCAAAGCTCCCTGGGAATTCTGCTGTTGTAATAAAACTTCAGAAGAGGAAAGAAAAAAGGCAGCATGATGGAATTCAAAATAATGCTCTAAAAGCACAGAGAGATTAAGACATCCATTGTAAGACTTTTGTATGGTGCTTCTGTTGGTTATGCTGAAAAGAGACCAGACATTGCTGAGCGGAGAGGGAAGTTTTGGCTACGAGAAATACAAGAATTAAACCAAAGAATTTTCTTGATTATTAGAATAGGGCTGTCAGATTCTGTCTTTAGGGTTTGAGTATTTACATCTTATACCGTATTTTAACTGGGCTTCATGTGACTTTATATTAGGAAGAACTAAAACAAGGAAAATGACCTGGTTATTAGAATAACAGTGTGAATATCTTTCCCAGTGTTAAGTAATACAGCAAACACCTGTATGTCCAACGTAATCCCCTTTCCCATAAACACACAATAGATAGACAGACAAACAGAGAAAATAGAATGTATTATCTGTCAACAAAAAAACATACGCTAGGAACATTCCAAAACATCAAACCACTGGCAAAATTATGTGTGAAAATATGCATTTTTGCACAAAAAAAGCAGAGATGTGTCTGCCTATGACTCCCGTATTGTGTTTTCAGGCTAGTGTTTGCCCTCCTCATGTGAGACTTCATGGTGGCCCCTCAGCAAGTCCATGCCTAATGCCATTCAGTGGTGAACAAAGAGTCTTTTTATAGGGAAGTCCAGGGTCCACAGCTCAGCTGTACATGCCGAGTGCAGGAATCTGCTAGAGGCCAGTGTCCCCTTTGCAGCAGCTCTTGTGCTGCCCCCTTTTTCAGAAACACCAGTGTCCAGCATCTCACAATACATGCGATGTTTCACATGGAGCCAGTATCACCAACACTTCAGTTAGATGGTCAAGACTGAAGAAGAGGGTTCAAGCCCAAGACAAATAATAGTCTTTATTTCTTGCAAACTCCTTGTATTTTACCACTAGCAATTTATGGTGAATAATTGCACAGAGAAATTATAAAGACTCCTACAATTGTCCTTGTAAATTAATAATAGGCTTTCTTGATTGGGATAAATCTGCTGCTGAGCCTTTGGAAAAATTAAAAAGTGCAATGTCATTTAAAATTGCCAGAACTCGCACAGCAAATTACATCTGAGGTTAAGAATTGAGTTTTCCCCCCTCTTCTAGCTTATTCCATTTGCATGATCTGGAAATCACATTACATTGGCCATGTATTGTTAATTGGACATAGATTGCATTATCTTTAATATAAATCAAACTACAAATATGAAAATGAATTGCAAATTCCCTAATAGAAGATCATAAAACAATCTTTTTTAAAGTATCTCCCATTAATAATTTAATTCCAATTATATCACTCAGAAAACTTAAGTAGGAAACCTGGCAA